CCAAGCAGCAAAGAAGACCTGCAGAATCTTAAGTATATAAGACTCCTGGTAATATAGTCACAATGTATTTATAGCGCTGCTTATATTCAGTGGATTTGAATGAGGAGAAAACTTGGCAAAATCCTCTGCAGAACACTGCTACGTAAAATTCTTGGGCTGGTGGGCAATTTGTGTGCAGAAGACTTGCCTACATGTGCTGCTGTTTTGCTTTATTATGAGTTTTTATTGTGTATTTTTATTGTGATGCTGATTAGGTTTTCTGTCTTTCGTGCAGATTACAGGACCGGCCCTTGCTTCACTTTGATAACCAACCAGATGTGCCAGGGACAGCTCAGTGGAATAGTCTGCACAAAAACCCTTTGCTGTGCAACAGTTGGGAGAGCATGGGGCCATCCCTGTGAAATGTGTCCTGCCCAGCCGCATCCCTGCCGCCGAGGCTTCATTCCAAACATTCGAACTGGGGCCTGTCAAGGTAAGTTAGCAGCAAAGCTTCCCCAAAAGCTGCTGAAATTGTTACTGGATTAATCTTAATTGAGTTACACTGCTGTGAATAACCTGTCGTAAGCCATTCTCAGCTATATGTGTGAAGAATGGAAAAATATTGTCAGAGGCATTACTTCATGATTCAGTGAGTGCCTGATGTTCAAGTGAGTACATTAGTAACTTAGGTCATGTGAGAGCAGCCAGCATCTTAATGAATTTCTCACTGCCAGCAGCCCTTTCCCTTGGTTCTGTAATGGTGTTTTTCTGAGCGTACCACTCGATCATTCTGTGGCGGAATTTATTCAGTTTCAGAAAGCACTCGAAACATGCAAAAAACAGTCTGTGGCAATACTGTTCCATTTGTCTGGTGTGGGACTTTTTAGCTAAAATTTGTTGATTTTGGATTCATCTTGGATGTCTTATCACTCGAGCTACACTGCTTCAACCTGGAGAAAAGTGCCTGTCGTGCCATTTGAAATGCCTTATTATATATTTTATACAATTTTGGAAATGCATTTGCATTTGTTTCAAATCATAAAATCCACCCAGATGTTGCTTACTTCTTTCAGAGTATGCCTTACCATAGAAAGTCCTTACACTGCTTTTGGCTTTTATTCTAATACTTCCAGCTGTATAAATTCCTTTATTGTCTGGATGTCTGGCAGGAAACAGGAGAAAGTTAACAGGGGCAGCTATGTATTAAACTGATGTGGATTACACATTCCCAGGATCATATCTTTGGGGCTAGTTTATTTCAATCTAACATTTTCTAATAAGTTACAATATTTTTGAAAATAGGGGAGATAAAGGTTGTAAATCTATGAGTAATTTTATTTGATCATAAATTCCTATGAAGGACCTCAAGACATTCCATTGCATTAAAAATGTACGTATCCTCTGTCACAGGCCAAGTCCTGGTTGGTGCCTCCAGACAGGCATGATGAACTTCAAGATGGGCATGTTTGTGTTTGCTGCATAATGTGCACATGTTTTGACCTCAGCCATTCTGATCCCCCTCTCACTGTAAAGGTCAGAACTAAATTGTGCAGAAATCTGTGAATTGAGGTTCTGGACACTGCTGAAATCTTATGTGCATAAATATGTGACCCACACCCCTGAACTCATGCCGCACCTAGTTATATCCCTCTTGTGTCATAGAAACGCTGCAGTGACCTCTCCAATGGGTTTGTGCAGTTTGGAATAAGGCTACTGCTGCTTGCTGCACATTTCTTAGCATGCAGCTACATTACTGCTAATCTGTATGCGGTGCCAACAGAGTTTTGGCCCTGTATGTTTGACTTGTACTTTCCAGTTTTCCCTTCTCTTGTAATGTGTTCATAATTTCAACAGATCTGCTATGGAACCACATATTAGCTTTATTTTTCATGCAATTGTACTAAATCCAGTCCTTTTGAAATCAGATAACATCCATTCAGACTGAAGACATTTCAGGGATTTCACGTCCATATTCAATCTAAATAAAGGAAAACAGGTTAAATAAAATCCAGGTTCTCTGAAGAGAAAAAGGAACCATTATTATTGTGTGGAGAAGTCAGAAAAAATAAAACGGAGGGGAGGGCAAGTTTGTTTTAAAAAGTAAATAGAATATCGCTGCCCACAGTTTGACTTTGTCTGGCTGGCTGAAAGTTAAATTAATATCACAGCTGAGATTTTAAAAGATATAAAGGAGGCAAATGAAAGCCAAAAGGTGGGATTTTGAAACAGACATGGTGACTCAGTAGCATAACTTCACTTTTTAAATATTTTTTTTTAAAGTCAGTACAGTGCCATGAAGTCTGGCTGATTACTGTTATTAAAGCACAGCATATTGCTGTAGCTTGAGTCGCAGCAGCAGTGTGGCTGTGTCGAGGGTGCTGAGGCTGTGCTAGCTCTCTGAGCCTCCCAGCACAGCGGTTAGCTCAGGCTCAGCACTGCTCTGGCTGCTGCTGCACCCCTGGACCCCAGTCAGTCCGCCTGGGGATCTTCACATAACGCTCTGCCATGTGGTACAGATATGCCCCTTGGCGTTCCTGAAACTTCCTACTTGTGGCTCCCAGGGAAATTGCCTCTTGCAGGCGTAATACTTTGCCTTTCAGACTACAAGACACATTACAGCTGGCTCTCTGGGATTTATAAAGGGAAATTTGAAGGTGTCATCTCCTTCAGCTTGTGTCCCTGCATTGAAACTGATCCTAGTGTGAAGCCCAAGAACTCAAGAAACTGGGTTTTACCAGCAGCAGCTGGCAGTCCTTGGGTAGATGGGGGAAGCACAGGCCTTTGGGTTGGAGAGTGGCGAGTGCTCTGTTTGCTCCCGAAGGACAGGGAGCAGCAGACACAGGGCAGCCCCTGGGGACTGTGAGCCAGACCTCCACTGTCTCCTGTTGCAATGCCACTCCTCCTCGAGTCTCTTTTCTCTAGCTGTTACTAAGCCATAGCAACACTTTTGCAGCTAAGTGATGACACACATGTTGTTGTGCTAAAACAGCTGTGAGGTCAAAAACTGAGGCCTCTTGAAAATGTTTGTCTTGAGCTTCTTACCTAGCCTGTGATATCATCTTTGTTGTTTCATTCTCTTGAGTGAAAAAATTAAAAGCAAAGAGAGAGAAATGAAGGGGGAAAAAACCTCCAAATTTATGAATGTCTGAGCAGGTCATTAATAATTCCTCCTGAGACATTAATTATGGCTATGAAACTTCTTGAGCCAAATCCTAAGCACAGTCTAAGGTCATTGGTGCTGATCTTACTGGAGTGACGAGTTAATCATTTCCATCAATCATGACTATGCAGTTCCCCATGCCTCTCCATGAGGCCCTCTCCATGCACATTGCACACTGCTTCTCCGTGGCTCCTGCATCTCTGCACTGGTGGGCTATGCACAGTATGGAGTTGCCAAGATTTTCAAAGGGGCAAGTGATTTTGGGTGCCCAGCTTCAGATACTTTAAAGGAACCTGGTTTTTGGCAGACTGTGTTCTCTGTATGCCATTCCCCAGATGTTTTGGAAAAACAAAGCAATAGCAGTTAGATGTTTAATGTCTGTAACAATAATAACCATGTGATTTCTTGCAGAAGATATTTAGAGTACTGTACTTAATCATACTTTGCATAGAGTAATTATAAAATTGGTGTCTGTCTTCACAAGCAAGTATCATAATATTATGATGGGTGAAGAATGGATTTAGGCATATTTAATTTCTGTGTAGATAAATTATTATGGCTGTTCTTGAGAAATGAATTAAAAGTGACTGTTTTTTCCTTTTTTATATGATAGATGTGGATGAATGCCAAGCCATCCCTGGGATCTGTCAAGGGGGAAATTGCATTAATACTGTTGGATCTTTTGAGTGCAAATGCCCAGCTGGACACAAGTTTAATGAAGTGACACAAAAATGCGATGGTAAGAACTCTTAGAACTTTCTTCTGAAAGTAAAGGAGGGGAAAGTCATCTTTTGGGGCCAACCTTGTTTAGAAATTTGTAACAAACTTTCCAGTCTCTTTTGCCTTCAGTATGCAAATAGCATTCTTCACAACAAATACGAATAATGGTGCTTTCTCCTTCTTAACCGGAGGATCTTAAATATTGGCCCTGCAGTTTTTTCCAGCCTTTTATTCACGTAACATTTTACAGACTTAAAGATACATCTGAAACAAATTAAACATTAAAACTAAAAATACTTTTTAACTGATATGTTGCTTTAGAAATGCTTGAAGCACATATCTCTGTGTGAATCTTTTAACCAAAAAGTGTATATGACTGGAAGGTTCAACACATTCCCACCTACTCAGGTAAACTGTATTTAACATTAATAGGAGTTTGACACTGCTGAGTGAAGACTGCAGGACTATGCTCTAAACTCATCCTTACAGCTGCAGATGTTAAAGAAGGACAAACATTTTATCTTCCCTTATTTGTCATCCTATTTTGGAAGTACAGCAGGCGCTAAATATTAGTGTGGAAATTTGCAGTGCGTGATTATGGAATCTTGCTGATTTTTAACTGTGATTTGATAGTATTTTTTTCTATATATAATGTAATAATCAGGCATAGATGTCTCCTTTGCTTTAAGAGAATTTTGGATACATAAGGAACATAGTACTAAAATGTGTCAACTGCACAGTTTTGATTCATCTTCTTTACAGTGAAGTCCAGATAATGTTTAAACTCTCATAACTGATTCTCCTTTCAGTCATTAGACAAAAATTATATTAATTTGAACAGACAAATTTCATAAGTGGTTAGTGATTTTGGAGTGCAAACTTTCAATATGAAATAGGTGTGTGACTGTGCACTGTGACTGTGCATCTACCACCCTTTCTTGCATCAGGTACCTTTAAGGATGCACTAAAAATTTTTTGGTCATTTTGAAAGAATTATGACTTAATCTTTCAAAAGAAAAATCCCTATTTAAAGCAAAAGTTTATCATTTAATTGCAGGTTAGGAAAAGCAATTTCAGAAGAGTTTGTACACAGCACAGTTTTCATATTGACTGCCAATGGTTTTGGCAGAAAGTAACCCACGTTTAGGGTAGAACAAGATTGCAAGTGTTTCCTTCTGTGGATGAAGTACCAAGAACATGGCGAACAGGAAAGACTGAACATATGCCTTGTTAAGTATTACTATGTGAAAAACTGAGAACCGTAGGCTTGAATAGGCTGCATCATATAAACATTCCTATGGTATTTTTTGATTGCTGAATCATGTAAAAAAAAAAAAAAGAAACCCAAAGAAAGAACAAAAAAACCCAAACAACCACCACCTTCAGAGCCTGCACTTGGTAATAGTTGAAGGACTGGACCCAAGAACCTGGGATAGCTTAGTTTGTTCCCAAATCCTGCCACAAATTTCCTGCCCCATCTTGTGAAATCCCTTTGGAGTGGTCGCCTGGCTGCAAAGATAGGATGAAGTTTTCTTTCTTCAATTCCATACCTGTAAATTTTTGAACCTCAGCAGACAGAGACTTACTTTCAGTACATCTTCATATTGCATGTACCAAGGAGTTTTAGTTAAAGCTGTGTAGGTATTAATACAATTCAAAGAATTAAAAGTAATACCCTTATACCAGTGGCATGAAATAGGAGAGTGATTCAACAGTTAAGAGCATAGTAGTTACATAACAACGGAATCTCCATTCTGCTTTTTTAAATTATCCTTTTGACTTTGAAGTTGAAATCTCAAAATATAAGACAAGGTATTTGCCTTATAGTAATTAACTTCCTATCCAGCAAGTAGGACTTCTGGCGGCTGTAATGTGTCCTTGGTCACTGATTTAGTAGAACTGAGAGCTACCTGCTGAATTACCAGTACTGTTTTTTCAGTAAGTCCCCATTAAAGTAAGATCATGATAGAAATCATCAGGTACAGTGAGACAAAGCAATAAGAAAGATGGGAAATTAAGTGTGTTAGCATAGCTGGTGGAAAACTGTATTTTAAGTGTTTCGTTATTTCACTGCTTCATATAACCATTCCTATTCCAGTTGTATTAGTGCTGAGGTAAATACTTTTCTGTGGTGACTGAGGGGAGTAATTTTTCCTCAAGTGACATTTATGTCTGCGAGTACATTGAGTATACTTACCTTTATAAAACTTGCATACTTAACAATGACAATGTTGCTTATATGAATGTCAACACTAATATAAATAGTGAAATGCTGTTTGGGTTAGGCTCAACCCTAAAATAAAGAGTGATGATTTTGCTTTTAAAAAGGTCAGACTCTATATAAACAGTGGCAACACTGACTTTAAGATAAACATTGGTGAATTTGAGTCAGAAAATGCTTGAATCTGATCCATTTACGACTGCATTTTTCTCTGTTAATTAAGGGCTTTATTCAGACCAAAATTCAATTTCCACATTTTTTGTCACTGAGACTTTTGGGACTCCTGTGGAGTATAATCCTGGAGCAGAAGCCAGAATTCTCTTAGCAGCACTCCCAGGGCACTCGGACTTGAGGCTTTGGCAACACCCTTGAAGTAGCACCAAACAAAAAGTCACACCCCTCTCACACACCCAAGCGAGGAATGCGACCCACATCACGACAGCTAGCAAGATGCTGGGGAAGAATTGTGCTTAGGATGGGTTGGTCTGCAAGGTCTGGTTATGTGTATGCCACCCCAGTCCCTCCACTTCTTTCCTGCAAAGGCAAGGGGCCCCAAAGGTATTAGAGCATCCAATGTTTTACCTAGGTGAAGAGGAATTGGTAATTTTTCTATTACTGAATTGCTGTCTTCACAGGAGAAGTAGAACAGAGATCGTCTACTTGCTAAAACACTCATTAACAGTCCTGTGGGACTTTGGGTGTTCCCCCATCTGTTGGGGCCAAATTCCAATTTAGGCGTTACATTCAAATTCCTCCAATCGTTTTTAATGACTACGATACTATTCACTCCTTGCCTTGGCGTGTTGGGTGGTGTTGCAGTATTTCATCTCAGAAATTTTTGTGGTTGGTGAAATCATTATTATAGCCATGTGTCTATCTGTTTGTAGATCTCTGGAGGAGAGGTTGGACAGAGTCCTGTGATGCCATTATTTCTGGCTGAATTCTCCCTTTTGGGAGAGCAACTGAGTGATTGTACATGGCTGTGATGGGCAGTTGTCACAGATCACTCTAGAGAATAGATCTAGATCTAGAGTTGTCTAGATCACTCTAGAGAATAACCTCCCTTTCTGCTCTGCTTTGCTGACTGTTCTTGTAGGTACTATGGAAAAGTGAGCTGTTTTTAAGCTTAGCTGGACTCCAGGTTCCTAGAAGATGGGAGCAGTGCTAAGTAGATACAGCTGCATTGTTAAGACAGTCACTGGAAACCAGGAGGAAAGTAACTACATATCACAGGCAGGCTGCTGATGGTAATTAAGGAGCAGTTGGGGCTTGCATAGGTTGTTATTCACATGACTGTAGATAACATAAACTCCTAGCTGTGGAAGAAACCCTTCAGGTTCGCTGTGCTCATATATGCAGCTATGATCTGGTAAAAGAAGGTATTTGTTAGGTTTTTTTCTGCAGACTGATAATTTTTCTGCATTGGATCTGTGATGATGATTTAGTATGTGGATTGAGATTTGTTAGTGAAGAAAATCACGATATGCACTTTTATTTTAAAATTGCTCACAAAATCTAGGGGCAATTATGGACATTGCCTGACTTCTGCAGTAGATATTTCAGTTACTGTCTAGAAATCTGTTGAAACTTCAGAACATTCACTTAGTGGAGAAAGCCAGGAAAGGTGATTTTTGTTGCTTGCAGTCATCCTACTTTGAGCTATAATGCTGTCAGATTGCATTAGTTAAACAATGCCTAGCTGGTCAATGCTTTTCTATGGGGGATTTCCAAGGAAAACGCAAGTGCAGTAAGAGGGATGGACAACTCAGTAGGTGCTACACTTCCCTTTGAGTCAGTATTGAACTATTGCCTCAGTATGGTGCCAGGAGATGCTGTGCTGCAGGAAGTACCATGAGACATAACAGTTAAGTTCCTGATCGCTATAGTCATTACAGGGGCCATGACAGTTCTCTTAATTCAGTGTGCAGAATTCAAACTGGAAGGGTTATAGTTTACTTACAGTTAGTAAATCCCATCTGCATTTTAAGATTTTCATCCGTTACTATTAAACAGTAAAACAAACTCTCTGGCTTTTTGCAATTTACAGATATAATGTTTTCTTAGGTTCTGTTTCACTTATGTTTATAAGGTGCCTAACAAAAGATCCTAATTCAAAACTACTGATTATGCCCCTAATACGTAAGTTAGGAGAGGTCTCAGACCACACTGAATTTGATCATTAATACTAATTATAAAATACCTATTCTCGTGCCGGAACTAATTTAGCTAACTTGCCTCTGCTTCTCTTTTTGCCTTGAAGATATTGATGAATGCAGCACCATTCCTGGAATCTGTGATGGAGGAGAGTGTTCAAACACAGTTAGCAGTTACTTCTGCAAGTGTCCTCCTGGGTTTTATACAGCTCCTGATGGCTTAAAGTGCATAGGTGAGTAGAGTCCTGTAAATAATAAGACAGTAGGTGTCATGAACCTTCATGAATATCTAAAATAGGTAACAGTGTACCAGAAATGTATTTCAACTTGTGATCTTGAAATTTTCTTTTATATAGAAGTATATCATGTGGCTATATATGTAGTCTGAAATGAGTTTTCCATTTGCAGGATGTGTTTCCTCTTTCCATGGGACCTTCCCTTTCATATTTCTTACTACAGTTTTTCTCTTATGCCATATTTGTTGCCTTAAAATAGGCAGAACTTGTTTGACACATCTCCCCGATATTCTTCCTCTCATGTTTGTCTTTGATTTAGTCCACATTATGTTCAGCAGTTATTTAGAAAAGCAAATATACTTGAGAAAGAAGGTAATCACCCCAAACAACTTTTTTTCCCCTCATTCTGACTATTATGACCTTAATGCAGATACTTTTCATTAAAGGAAGTAGTGGATAAGCTGGATGTGGGACATTTGTATCTACCTTCATGATGTTGATGATTTAGCCGTGCTGTTCTTTCAGGCTTTCACTGTGGCAGAGCAGAGTTTGTCTTCCAAAGGCCAGACCAGGAACCAAAGGACTGTGTGAATTACATGACTGCCACTGCAGTGCCAAACCCACGAAAGAGTAGTGTTAGCGCTTACTGCTTCTGGGAAGCATGCAGCCTGCTCTGAGGCAGGTCAAGTATTCAATTAATTATTTTTTTCTCATTTTTACGCAGTAATTTCTTTTTTCACTGCCAGTGCTGAATTTTTCGCAATTATTGTCATTTGAGAATCAAATTAAAGGTTTATTTCCTCAGTTTTGGCTTGTTTATTTAAATGCTCATACACAGTGCCAGCACTGTGGTTCAGGAGAGCACCCTGTGTTTAGTACCTTTGATAGAAAATAATTTGGGAAAAAATTGAAAAAAAATAACTTCACAGACAAAAGTACCAAATAATATTAACTTCCCCAAGAGATCTGGAAGTAGTTCAGGTTCTGATTCATTTTGAATGGAGCCATTCTATTTCTGCAGGTTGTGAGAAATGAACTGTATTTCTTCCATTATCAAGAACAGCATTTTGGTAGATTGGATCCATACTATACACTTAAAATGCCAGTAGAAGTTATTACTTCAGATTAATAGCTCCTGTATGACTGTGGATCATTAAATCATTGATTGCTGCTTGTACTTAATATTTATGAAGGAGATTCACCTTTCTGTAACCGAAAATTTCTGAAGATGCACAATTTCCATTTGCTTTTTACTTTTTATAGTCATTGCTCAGTCAGGACTGCCCAACATTCACACCCGTGTTACATTACCTGCTGTTTTCCAGGCTTTTTTACCCACTGTATTTGTAGGCTGAAATAGTTCAACTAAAGAATTCGGTATTGAAATTATGACAGACTGTGTTAAGTAATATGCCAGACTATGAGCCATCATTAAAATTTTGGCTTTGTGTCCAAGGCAAAACGTGCTAAATGGGAAGCACTATTAATTATGTGCAGATATTTTGGATTCATGTCTAATATGCAGACTGCATACTTGCCATATTAACAAGGACAGAGCTCAAATCTGTATTTGAGCTGGGCAAAACATGTAATCTTGATTTAATTACAACATGCCTGTCTTAAGTGAAAAGTGTTAGCTGAACGTGTCTATTCTGTTAGAGATGAGGAAGTGCTTCTGAGAAATATATCCCTTGTGGGACTCAAACTGAGCAGCACTGGAGCCAAACACCCAAAGGAAGAACCGGGAGTTCCATTTTTACAAACCTTAAAAATTAGAATAGACGAAGCAAAGATTGTATCTCCTAGAGCTGAAAAGCAGAAACAAGAGCAGGACATCTCAACCCAAGTACATGAAGAGTGCTATGAAGAAAGCTGCTAGCCTGTACTTCTAGCTGGCATAAATTTATTTGGTCAGTGTTACTTTTCGATGGCTTTTTCTTTTTTCTTTTCTTTTTTTTTTTTTTTAGAGAGGCACAATTTTCTTGTTATTTTCATGGTGATTTTTTGCTTTTCAAAATACTATATTTTTTTAGTGAAAAATATTAAAATAATAAAAGCTGAAACAGTAAAAAAATTGTTTCCTGCTGTTCTTGCCCTTATTTGTGTGTTCTACCATTTGGAATGGAAAATGAAAGAGGAAAAAAAGAATCACTTCTGATTAGGAACATAGAAAGATTTGCCATTTTTCTCACAAACTTACTGTCTTTTTCTGAAAATGATGTGGCTTTTGGATAAGCTCTTACACCTGTAGGTAGACAAAGATGTTTGCTGTGTGTTTACCTTTTTATGGCACATTGTGTGCTTGCACGGATCTCGTGTAGATGCGTTTTCCACTTCTCCCCATTACTGCTTTTAAGTGTTTCAAAACTTGGTACTGACCAAAACTCAGAAGGATGAATTACAGAGGATGATGATAGGGGTCTGTTAGAGGACTTCCTTACTTATTGTCCAGCCCACCATCATGCCAAGCATCTGAATATCTCTCCAGGGATACTGGAGACCAGTTTCCTCTCTGGGAATACTTTCCATCAGAGCTGTATTTGATCTTTAAAATGGTAGATTAAGGAGTGTATGTGTTTGGCAGTTTAGTTGGGTACCAGGAGAAAATGGAGGACCAGTAATAGAACTGAGGAGATTTTTTTTCTCCATTTCAGATTTCCATTATATGATAATAGCAGTGAACTAACTAAAGTTTCAAAGCAAAGGCCAACTGTCTCTTTTAGCTGTATTGCCAGTAATATCCGTGTTCAGAGTTCCAGCTAATAAAAGGCAGAACCATCACAGACTCTCCCAACATATCACTATATATCAATTTCCTCAAAATAATAAGAAACTTCCCTGCTTTTTTTTATATCCATTGGAATAACTAGTAAACTCTGGAAAGCACTGTTACTAAGCAGATGAATCCACCATGCCCTGGATAACTGAGATATGGTTTCTTTAGGGAATGGTGTCTGCTGTTTTAAGGTTGTACCTGCAGCTTTTTCCTCTACGTTTTGACAGCAATGTTCATATATTCTAGAAACAAACTTGTTCTGATTTATCATGCAGCATCAAATCACACCACAGTTTGTATTGAGTTTCACATGATGTGGCATATTGTGAAACAATTGCTCAGGGCTTCAGATTATATCACAAGATTTATTTTTTTTTTTTTTTATTTTGCTCCCATCAACATTTTCTCTCCCTTCTCTAAACCTGGGGGTCTCTGTGCAATGTTGTTAGAGCTGAGTGTATGTAATCTGGGTACAGGACATTCTTTGTACAGCACGTGCTTACCCTTTTCAGACAGAAAGCCAGCATGTCTCCGTAAACAATGTGGTGGTACCAGTTAAAGCTGTGTTGCTCTTTCTTCCCTGCAAGCCTATGTGTTGTCAAATCACTACATACTTCAGCTGGGGAAGCCATAACTAATGGAAAATGAATTAACGCTTTGAGAGCTGCAATGCTATGAGTTTATTGCTGTACATCAGTGGCTTTCAAATCAAAGCTTAAACAGAATTGATCTGGTACTATCTTTAATATTTTCTTATATACTGAACAGACGTTTCTATTCTATTTTTGCCTCCATTAATTCATTACTGTTCTGAATTTCACTTCAGCTTTCTCACAGGAGGTATTACACCTGAATCCAAAGCAGCCCAAGTATTTTCTAGATATTTCTGGATTTCTGGCTTTTATTTTCTGATTGGTGTAATGTTGCAAGTGCTATGTCATTGATAATGTAATCAACCAGGAAAAATGGGACCTTTCCCTTTTGTGAAAGTCATATTCCTCATTGGACTGATTATTACATATCCATTTCTTTCTCTCGGTAGATGTGCGTCCTGGATACTGCTTCTCTTCTCTGACCAACGGGCGCTGCAGCAGTCAGCTCCCCCAGCCTTTGTCCAAAATGCAGTGTTGCTGTGACAGTGGCCGATGCTGGTCTTCCAGTGCAGCCACCGCTCCTGAAATGTGCCCGATCAGATCCACCGGTATGAATCCACCTGTATTATTATGAGCATGGTTGAACACTAAATTAGGCAGTGATTTTCATTTACCAGTAATATGTTCATTAAAGAACTACACAGAATGGTTGAGGTTGGAGGGCACCTTGGGACATCGTTTAGTCCAACCCCCAGCTCAAAGCAGAGCCTCCTATGGCAGGTTGCTCAGGGCCTCAAGGAGGCTAGGGCAAGCAGACGTAAACAAAGGAGCCTTCTAATAGATCCCTATTCCCTCTGCTGTTTCATTCTCTTTGGAAAACTGGGGTTTCCTCCCTCTTATGTCTAGCTTTCTGAGGTACCCTTTATTTCCTGAAGTTTAACACAGAACACGATTTCTGTCTGCTACCAAAATGTGCTGTACTTTATCGCCTCCCTGTGTATTGAGATCCCTAGACAATACGAGATTTGAATTTAGAGAAGATGGTGAGGAGATTGTGAAACGAAGTGTGAGGGAGTAGAAGAAAGATGTTTTTGAGATTGTTTAGGACTGCAGACCTAATGGAATGCTTTAGAAGAGAAGAATACAAGAAACTTAAGGATTGATGGGAGGAGCTCAAGGGGGTGCAGAGTTTAGGGAGGAATAGGGGTTGTAATACTACAGCAGTGTAACTCTGAGGAAATTGTCAGAGGTCATGTATGGAAGTGTTTATTACTCTTGTTTTTAATCCTTTGAGTGAAACTGTGTAATACTGGAGCAGAGATCTATCATCAGAACTCTTGGAAGACTCTTCCTCGTTCTGTAACTATCTCTTTGATAATATTGAAATATGTTAACTATCCAAGGCTGGGTAGAATAATGCTAACAAAATAATGCAATCTATTGGTGTTTATCTGAAATAGGAAGACAAGGAGAAAGCTTTCAATCTTAACACAGTCCCTGTTTTCTTTATAGACTTTCTAATTATTCATATCTAACTGGTGAATAAAGTGGGTGGAAAAGTGAAGTAATTTGGCCAAGGCCGCAGGCTGAGACGTGGTAGAGAAGGTGCTAGAACCCAGGACTTCCTGACTCATAAATCCATGCAAGGTCTTCCAGATCATGGCTAAATGCCACCTTTTTTTTCTTTCTTTTTTTTTTTTTTCCCCTGACTTGGGATATAAATTGAGACTATAAATTACTCTTTTCAAAAGTGCTTTGAAATGCTTTGAAAGGCCTTACATGTATGTAAGGTATTGCTGTCATTACTTAATCAAGTTCAGTTATTCCATAATGTATCCTGAGAAAGCAAGATGAGGAATTTAGAGCTGTCAGTGGCCCAAAGTCTTTCTAACTCTGAAATGGAAATTTACTGCAATATAAAATGGAGCACTAGCTGCATAATGTAACCAAGCGGTTGCATTTTCACTGTGGGCAGCAGATCCAGATATTACTATAAAATAGGCTGTTTATTGCTAGAAATTATACATGGAGATTAAAGTTGCCATAAAAAAGGCTTGCACTGTATTTCTTTGCATAACACAACAATAATTGTTTATGTGGAATGACAGGGTTTACCATTGACACTGTAAATACATTAAAAGTGGTATCTTGGGCATCCATCCACATGTGTTCAGTTCGCACTTCAGCAGTCCCATCATGTGTGCTAATTCCATTCAACCAATCCACAGCCCCAAGGCCATGACTGCTTTTTGCACGGAAGGCTTAGGCTCCCGGTGGATTGGCTTTGAATAACTGGGTATTACCAATCTAGAGTAAAAAAGAAATACAGTATTGTTTCTTTCACAAGGACTGATCAGTGGGTTGTAGAAAATGTGTGATTAGAGAAATGACTATTAAAACTACCATTAGCAAACATTTGCATGTTGGAATTTGTGTATGTACATACACAGAGACTGTTTCTTCTGAATGTCTCTGTTTTATCACAGATAGGCCACTGATTGAGAGTAGATTCAGCTTACATATGAATAGGCAAAATAGAAAGCTAGGAAAAAAAACCACAATACATAATACAATAAAATCTTGGGAAAGATTTAAAGATTAAAATCACTCTAAGGAACAACAGGGGGAAATGCAGTGACACATGAAACAAACTGATCACCTGAGAGCATTAAAATAAATTCAGAGATCATAATCGGGAAAAGCAGAAATTCAGGCTACCATGTTTATTTAACAAATCCTCTGTGATTCGGGAAGAGCTTCTAATGTGTTTTACAGGTGGAAATAAAACTGAGATGAAAGTGTTGAAGGCTGAAGCATTCAGCTTGGTTCTCCCAACACTGAATTTATTTTTCAGTTCTCATATTTTATATTGTTTCAGGAATTCATGCATCTCTGTAGTATTTTGTTTTCGTTGTATAATTCCTCTCCCCTGTTGTGCCATAAACTTCAAAATTTTGGTGTTCAAAGATATTGGCTGCACAAATAGTTATTTGTGTATAAACAAGTTGTGGTTATGAATTAGGTCAGCTGGAAATGTGGTCTTTAATTGTGATACTCTGCGTGCGTTCTTTGGATCGCAAGTTCCAAACTCACACTTCCCAAAGACAAAAGAGTCAGGGACAGGAAGAAAAGTGGGGCAGTAGGGCAGATGCCACTAATAGAGATAAACAATAGGAGAATACATAACACTCAGCATAGACTGTGCTTACAGCAAAATAGATCATTGTCCCATCATCAGGAAAAGGATGAACTCGGTGTGGATCTGACTCGGTTTCTCTTTGTCTATGCTCCTTAGGCTGCACCGCATTTGGTTTGTGCTTTTATTGGCAAACTTCATTTTCACAGGGAAATAGTGTTGGTGTATTCATTCGCTAATTGGTTTTGCCTCATTGCTTATATTTATATTTCTTTGTTTTATGAAGTTCACTTTTAAGGAATCCAGTTGAAACTGGGCTTTTTTCCCCGGTCAGTATTTTTCTAACTCTATGGCAAGCTTTGTATTAAATTAACTTGGGATCAAGTCCAAAAGTCCTCCTTTAGGTAAACTTCCCACTGAGTTCACCAAAAATTTTGCTTGAAAGAAGACTAAATAGATTAAGATCGGGTCCCTGCCTCACTGTTCAATTTCATATCCAGAATGTCAGTTATGTTATCTTTTTACTAGCAGTCTTCTGACAAGTAGTATTGATTTCCTCCTATGGATTAATGACTCAATTCACAGAACAAAGCTTGTTACTATGAGGAAAACATACAGGCTCAGATTTTCCAGATTACTTAAGGTTTGTTATTGCTAACAAGAAGGGGGAAAGTTGGATTAAATGGAAAGGCTACAAGAGTCTAAACCAGCATTCATGTTTTCATGTTTCAGATGAGTATCGCAAATTGTGCACAGTAGCTGCTCTGCTGCCAGCAAGACCTGACCTTCCTCCGGGCCGTCCTGATGTCATCCCTCCGCCGCTCCTTCCTGGTGTTTACCCTCCTCAACAGCCAGAAATCGTCTATCCATCTCGGGCTCCACCACCTCATGGTAAGAAAGAAATAATAAACTTTCCCTGCACCATTTGCATTTAGCTTTTTTAAGAACGTATATTTCTCAGGAGCAATGTGTTCCCTTCAACTGTTGGTATCTTTTGCATACTTTATGTGGCTGTATAGTCTCTGGATATCCTTCTAATCATAGCCTGGTTACCGTGTATCTTACAGCAAGTGTACCCTATTGGTAGTGTTTTTCCTGTTAAGACAGGATTCAAAAATTACATCCTTGCTGTCTGTACTGAGGCCCATGTATTGTAGTAGTTACATTACTGCTATTTTAAGGGTATTCTGAGCTTTGCTGCTTGTCAGCATTGAGGAATGTGAAGAGCTCTTTGATGAGGTTGTGATAGTTAAAGACCTTGGTGGGGAGAAAGCAGCTTCTTTCAGGCTGTTTTCCTCACTCTTGTTTGGCCAGGTAGGAAATGTATTGATAAAAAGACTAGTCTGCTGGACACTGAGGCTGACCCAACATGAAGGGAGAACTTTTTCAGTGATACGCGTGGATGGGTTAGGTTTCTCTAGAGCAAGGAGGAAGCCAGAGCAGAATACCGATATGTTCCTTACTCTGTCCCTTGCTCAGGGAATTTACTACATGCCCATAGAGTCTGCAGTAGCCATGTGCCACCTGAAATTGTTTGGCATAGACACATACTCTTTTGCAAGTGAACACAAGCTCATTTTGCCCATGCTCTGTGCAGATGCAAGCAGGCCCTGCTTGCAGTGGCACCAGCTGAAACTTTTTAGTCTTGGTTCAGCACCAAGCTGAGCTAATAAGCCTAAGAGGCAAAGTATGTTAACTCAGGCCTGACACTGCACTGACATAGCTTCTGGTCAGCTGGGAGCATTGACAGAGCCAGCTCACATCTGTCTGCTGAAGACCACATAGGCATACTTTCCAGGATTATCCCTGCCCTCCTCTCATTCTGCTGTCTATGGAAATGGATATAACTGAACAAGTCTACCTGCTTTTTGCTACTGTAGGCTTTTAATGTAGGTACATGCGGTGCCATGTACCCACTTTACCACTAGGTATGAGCAGACTTTGGTCCTCTTTTGTGCTGCAAAAAAGGAAAACATGATCAGACTTGCCACAATGAAAAAATCAGTAGTTGCTAGCTGTTTTCAGACAAATCTCTCAACATTAAAGTGCCATTTTCTCTCTCTTAATGCTGATCTTACTATGTAATTCACATTATGATGGAAGGTAAGTGTTGACTTTTAGTGGAAAATGCTGCACAAGTTGCAGATAACCAAAAATGATTATGATGAGCTATTAAAGTATTTTTCCAACTCTGTTATTTTAGTGATCTTGCCGGTGAACTTCACTGACTATTGCCAACTGTTCCGACATCTCTGCCTTAATGGGCGCTGTATTCCCACTCCTGGGAGCTACCGCTGCGAGTGCAACAAAGGATTCCAACTGGATGTTAGAGGGGAATGCATTGGTATGTAGTTCTCTGCTGTAAAGCACAGAGAGGAATTTTGGTTTAAAGACAAAAAAATTCTTTTCCACACAATGTAATAACTCTGAGTTCTTAAATAAACCATGCCCCCCCTCCAAAAAAAAAACCCAGTAAATAGACTTTCAAGAACTAATTGCTTTGAACTGCAAACATTTTTCCAGCAGTTTTACCTTTAAGACAATATTCAACAAATCTTGTAATCTTGACACAAAATTATACAGGAGTAAGGATTTCTTATTTTACTAACCCATAACTATAATGTGTTTATTAGTGATTGAAAAAATGACTTCTTTAAAATGCTACCAGCTCTTTGAGTATGCAAATGACCTATTGTTTAATAAAAAAAAAAGCAATCATGATCTCAGGCTTCGTAAGATTTACATGTCCTCTTTCAGTTCATCAGGAGTATCTTGTTAGGCTCTTTAATTTTAGAGCTCAGCCAGAGCTTGATGATAGGAGCAAGGATTAGCTGTCTCTTACATGCAAGATTTTGCTTCTGTCAAAATCTGTGTCTCCAGTGGGCCTGGGAATGTGGAGGTATGGGATTAAGGCCTCTACCTCTCACACATGCAATATCTTGTCTTGTTGAGTACTCCTTTTTCCCAGCTCCTGCTTAGCTTAGAACATGGGATTCTTTTACTGGGAATTCAGTGGTGTCCCCTTTCCTTTCAGATTGAAGCATAGTATTTCTCCAACTACAAAATAATAAAATACCCCTACAGACCCTAATAACTTTCAACCAATGTCTTAATAAAAATATATTGTCTGTGTTCTGCAGATGTTGATGAATGTGAAAAGAATCCATGCATCAGTGGAGACTGTGTGAACACCCAGGGATCCTATATATGCCAGTGTCGTATAGGATATCAAAGCACGCCAACTAGAACAGAGTGCCGAGGTAAATTACGGTTTTACAGACGTGTCTATACTATTGTATACATACAAGGAGGGAAAGTAGTTTTTAAGCATAATTTAACAGATGTGTTAAATATGAGGGTTTTTTTAAAAAATAAATCAGATATGGCAGTAAAAATGATTAACCTGACTGAGCTGGCTGTTCAGACTGGGTTATGAAGAAAGACATTTTGTCTGGTGCTGAAAGTATCTTGGCACCGTTTGTGACTTTGAAGTGGAAGAGACATATTTTCTTTTTTTTCATTGTTTTTGTTTTTTAAACTATTGAGACATTTTTTCTTTTGCTTCTTGAGGGTCTCAAGGACAGTTAAACATCTGTTTTTTGGAGAAATGCTTTACCTATAAAAGACTGTTAAAAGACTAAGAGAGGTAGGGGGAAGATAAGTCTTCCAGTAGGTAAATATAAGAGCACAGTGCCTGTGTGTTATCCCTGCCCACTGTCAGAGAAAGACCTAAATATAAAATACAGCAATGCAAACTTAAGTAAGGTATGGAAAAGTAGTGAAGCACTGGGAAGTTCTAGGTGGGGAAGCTGTAGAATCCCCATTATTGGTGTTTTGAAGGCCAGGTTCAACAATAGTCCTGATAGTGTTCATCCTGTCTTCCTATGGGAGTGGGGAATGTGTAGCTCCTTGGTGGTCAGCCCTCTGCCAGGGTTCTGTGGCTCCCAAACTGTCTTGGGTGGGAATTTGACTGTAAAGGTGGATGCAATGCTTTATAGTTAAGTCATAATGAGAGACTTCTGGCAGGGGAATGAATCACTACTTTGATATTCCATAAGAAATGAAGCATCTAAATGAAACAGAATGTTTGAATGCTCAGAGTCCCAGCTTGTCTTCATATTTTGCTTTCTGCACTAAGAGGAGGGTTCCTTGAGCGTGCACTCATTCTGAAGCAGAGAGTGTCTAAAAAGCCGTAAGAAAGCTATCTGTATTAGTGTGCAATTTTTTTTTGTTCCTTGAATCAGAAAGGTATTTGTGGTACAGAAGCTTACTCTTATCCAGAGGACATGCAGAGCCAATACCGCTGCCTTATGTTGCTGGGAGTATTTGACCTAATTGCTGCCAAACAGCCATGTTGCAGAAGCATCTTCATAGTTCAGCTGACTAGTGGTGAAGGAGTGCTGAAGTGGAGTCTCAGTGGTGATGAATTTACTCATGAGTCATTTTTGTCACACGCTTTTAATTTGACTGATTCATTACACAAACACATGGTTGTCAGAAGCCCAGTAGCTTAATGGCATTAAAGTGCGGTCACTTAGCAGTTCCATTGCAGTCTATGGGAACTGTGCTTGCTTGACAGGCAGTTCAGAAAATGCTACGATGTGCAGAATCTTTGTTTTCTGAAGGAATTTTTAGGACGGCTTTAGGATAAAGAAAAAGGCTTGTGGCGTGCATTTGGCAAAATATGCATATAGCAGTGGTGCCTGCCAAAATCAGCATTTGCTGTAAAATTACTTCGCATGACTACTTTGTGTGTTGAGGTTTTATTTTTGCATACACAATGTGTCTGTGCTGATATGCTTTTGCAAATGTATTCCTTACATCCATTTGTGAAAAATGAAGTCTCCATAATGACCAGATGTTTATCTGTTCCTTGCTCTGAGATTCAAGGGGAAGATTTTTTCTGCATGATGAGTCTGATAGGTGACTGATTAAACATTGCAGTCCACATTGAAAGCTACTGATTCAATTGTTATTAGGATCCATTATAATTCTAGTAGGGGTTTGACTGAATGAATACGTTAATTGGAGACATAGATGAATAAGGATGTCACATTATGATTAGTGATCAAAACAAAAAATGCTTTTCAGTTGCAGAAGAGGGCATGTAAAATGGACCTTAAAAGTGAAATTCTATGATGATTAACTATGAATATATGGGAGTCGAAGCTTTAATAGTTAAGTGCTTACTACAATCTACCTGACATTTCTGAGAGGAGGAAGTCAGACCTTCCATGGAGATGGCAGTGATTACAGACATGCCAGTGAAAGAGGAGCTTTGATTTTTGCAAGTTTCTCTGAGGGGAGGCAAAAAAATAATCCACAATGTTATTTCATAATTTGAAAATTAGAAATGTAACCTAAACTAGTGGTGGGTCTCTGGTCAGCTGTGTGTACATAAAGAACAATGAGATTCTGTGTTAATTTTCTGCACCATGATTTAGATGGCATAAGATGCATAAAAGTACAAATCCTAATCAACTCTAAAAAGTAAAAGGCCAGAATAATTTTAAGATGCTGTAGCATTTTTGCCTGTCCTAAGGAAGAAAACTGGTGGAGTAGCTGAAGCCAGGCTTAGGTGCAACTGAGTGCCACAAAAGTGGGGGTAAATGGACTAAGCAGAGGGAAAACTCACTTTTATGCATTACTGATCAATATTGCTTGTTTATCAAACGAGGGGAGGTTTATCAAGCCTCTACATTTTTATTGGAGGTCAAGAGGGCTGCAAGCTGCTGCTGCAGTGTGCTGTCATTGAGCAGCTCTTGCCTCTGCTGGCCTGGTTGCTTGCTTGCAGAACAGTTATTTTCAGGGATTTCTTAGTAGCTTCTCAGAACTACAGTGCTCCTGAGAAGGCAAATAGAGGTTCAGAAATTCAAGAGGCATCAGTTCTGCCTCAGACAGATGTCTAGAGAGCAGTGGCATTTAGACGTACACCCTGCGCTCCGCTTCCTCCTCTGCAGCAATACACTTTTGCAGAGAGGGCCTGGGGAAGGGCACCCCCAGGATATTTGGGAAGACAGCATGGTTGCACAATAGATAGGTCTGCATGGGCTGGTTGAGATCTCTGTGAGCAGAGTCCCCTGTGTGCAGGAATCTCTGGGAGATGGTCCAGGCCTTGATGGAGAACACTGAGAAATCTGAAAAATGTCTAGACAGTCTGTCTCAGCATCTCCTCTCCCCTCTTTTGGAGGAGAGGGAGAGCTGCCAGCTTCGTGTGATATCACTATTCAGGTCCTCCAAAGCACTTGCCAAGCACCTCCTGCAGAGAGAGGGAAATGAGGAGCTGATGTTTCAAATATAAAATAAGCAGGAGAAAGATCTTCTGAGGTGGGAAAGTCTCAAACTTTCCTGTTATCTTACAAAGCAGCAGCAAAAGACAAGCTTCCCCCGTCTGTCCTTCAGTAGTTAGCTATTGTTAAGTTAAACTTTAGTAAAAATATTTTCATGATGAACAAAAATGCAAAAAACCAATTGAAAGGGTCTGATCCTTGTTTGAGAAAGCTGCAGGGTGATGTTCACTGAAATTCTTTCACAGCAACTTGAAATTTCAGGCTGATGAACATTTTCCATCCCCATAACTTTTGGTTGTGGAAATCAAAACAAATCATTTTTCAGGTGAATATAGTTTCAATGTAGGGTTAAAAATTTAGGGGAAGGGGAAATGGGGAAAATTCCTCTTGAGTATAAAAAAGAAAAGCCCCAAAATGTTATTTTTCTTTTTGGTTGGCTTTCAGACATTGACGAGTGTTTACAGAATGGTCGTATCTGTAATAATGGACGATGCATAAATACAGATGGCAGTTTTCACTGTGTATGTAATGCTGGCTTTCAAGTGGCAGCTGATGGGAAAAACTGTGAAGGTAAGACTTTTCTGAAGTGATTTCATATCAGTAATTACAGTTGCAAGAAGTTATTCATGTCAATGAAAAAGAAAAGGACCTCTGGTGGTAGGGGGGAAGGACCAAGGAATCAAATTTCTAAATACCTTTTGCTGTATCTGAGAGGGCAAGTAAACTGTCTTTTGCAGCCAGTTCTGGAGCCTTGGCTTGGCAATCCTCAACGGGATGTCTGTCCAGCAGGAGAAATAGCACATACCACTATCGCAGAATGCAGTTTCTTTGATGGGAGTGGTACATTTTAAAATGAAGCCCAAGTCACATGCTGCCTGATTTTACTGTGTGTTTAACAGCACACTTTATGGGATCTTACTGGGTGACTAGCAATGTGTTTTATGTAGATGCAGTCTGGTCTGGCCCATAAAAACTGTTTTAAGAAAAATTTGTAAACATAATTGATGTGTTCCTACCTCCCAGACCTTTACTAAAGGGGGGGAAAAGAAGTATGTTCTTTATCATGCTTCCCAAGGTCCTTGGGAGGGTTCCCAATGATCTATTCATACGTTAAAGGAATTTCAAGCACTGTTCTTAGAAACATTTTTGGCAGAATATTATCTCAGTGATTCAGCTCGAAGACTTAATGCCAAAATTCCTGGTTGGGATAGATACATGATTTTTTTTTTTTAAATCATAAATTATTTTTGTCTGACTTAGCCTGTAAGTAAAAAGAAAACACACAATGTCTAGAAATGTAATTTCTGTCCAAGACAGCTGCAATATTAAGGAAAATAGCACGATTCCGAATATATTGTAATGTCATTATGATCCAGTGATTTTATGTGCTAGTAGTGATTCTGTTAATCCTTGCTAGAGACAGACATTTTAAGACTCTGTTTTTCCTGACTCTTTTTTAGATACAGTTTAGCACTATAAGCTGCTTTTAAGTATCTTATTATGGAACTATATTGACTAAATATATTTGGAAATGAATATATTTTGGAAAAAAACTCGATTCTGACTTCTTCCTTTCCCACCAAATACCATGTGCTAATAGTAATAAGAACCAGGACATCGGCAGTCTGGTAAAACATTTTTAATTCCATTACATATGTTGCCAGAATGTCTGTTGCATCCACTTATGAAACAGTGTCATCTCTGGCATTGTAATGTATTGAGTTTTGTTCTTAGGAATACATGTGCACACACACTAATCAGTAAAGACCATGGCATTGTGCCATACCTTGATGTAAATGTGTATAGTCCTTTAGATGAAACTGGTAAATAGTGCTGATTTTTTTTGATGTAACGTCCAAAAGTGATTTCATTAGTGCCAGGACAAAATAAAGACTAAGAGGAAATAAAAGCTTACTAGCTTACTGAAATCAAGCACAGAATTCTCTGTACTTGTGGTGATGTGTGGGGTTTTTTTTTTCCTATATGTGTATATCAGTAACTGTGCAGGGTTCAGAACAGCAGTGTCTGGGACCTCCACCTTTTCCTGTTTGAATTCCTCACGCTATGTCATTAGGTCGGAGGGTGAATAATGCTAGTATGAAGCTACGATTAGTGATTACCCTCCTATGTGACCTGTCGTGCTGAATCCAGGGAAGGAGTAGGTTTTATTTTAAATGGAAGTTGATGATGAAAGTGCCCACAGAATGCATGCTTGAGCACAGTGCTGGGAATTCTCCCACATCATAAATCTTAGACTCATCCAAGGGAGGTTACAAAAGTTTTTACTCGAAACACAAATGCCCACTCCTCCCCTTTCAGGTCTTCTTAGTAACGTAAAATTGTGTTTAGCATTCCAAATGGGAGGCTGCTTCTGACCTAGCTTCTATTTACATGTAGATTGCAAATCCTCTTCAATTACATACCTTTCTCACTTTTTTTTAATGGTTTTTACCAACTGGCAGTTCTTAAACTGTCCAGTTTCTCATTTATCCATTTTTCATTCTCTTTGCTCTTTTTGGATGCATACCTTTATATGTTAATGATTCCTTATGAAAAAATGGAGCTATTGCTCTGACACATCCTCTAGGACAGTGCAGTATATCCCATCATATGATTCTGATTATCATATACCTCTGACAACTAAGAAAGAAATTAAGGTTTACCTTTTGTATATAACTAGTAAGAGTTCTTTTACTTAAATGTTATGAGCATTATGTCTGTTATGCACGTTTTCAGATATGGATGAATGCAGCATAAGGAACATGTGCCTCAATGGGATGTGCATCAATGAAGATGGCAGTTTTAAATGCATTTGTAAACCAGGGTTCCAGTTAGCATCCGATGGACGCTATTGCAGAGGTGAGTAAATAAATTATGGGTTCCCAAAGCCTGTGACTCATATCCCTCTGGTAGCTTCCAGAATCGCCTTATTTCCTTACAGTGATCCTTGGGGACAAGAAATACTGGGCAGAGTTCTTGTCAGATGTGCTTTTTTAATCAGCTAAAATGATTTGTCATTGTGCAAGACAGTACTCGGTCTTCTCCACAGTGTTGAGCAACCACCCTAACCAGTCAGTGGGAAATATTCTTTGATCAAGGACTCTGTGATCTGACCTAGTTAAACTCCAGGTTTTTTTGCCTGTGAGGTCTGCAGTTTGGCTCCAGTATGTCTCACTTTTTGTGTTTAGCCTTTTAAAATTTTCTGCCTTTGGCCACCCAAACATCCTGGCTTGTTGCCTTCTTTGGGTTTTTCTCCCATTCCTGCCTGGATGTTCCTAGTCAATACAGCATCTCCAAGGAGTGCCCAGCGCTCTGTGTGACCTAGATGCAGACATTAAATCTTTTAACTCTTGGAATCGAGGCAGAAAAAGTGCTTACTTACACTTTGGCAAACTTAAAAAAAAGTCATACTGGGTTACACAGCAGCATCTTGTTGTGGACCAATAACCAAAGTAAATGTTTGAATAAATAATTTGGTTTTGAGAGTTAGTGACATGAAAAATAAATTAATTTGGGTCCTATTGCTTCTTGAACACTGTACCAGTCTTAAATCTCAACTCTGTTGTGTCTAGACTTAGACTTTAGATCCAAACCAGGCCAATAAATCCAGTGAAACATCCGAAACTTCTCTTGCATTTGATAACTTTTGTACTAAATATGAAAGACAGTGCTACCCATCCTTCAGATGGGGGAATCATGTATTTCTGAGGAGAGATGACCCCATCCTTGCTTCGTAATAGGGTTGTTTTGATTGGGAGAATGAATTGTTCTTCAGTTTCTGAAATGAACAAAAGTGCAGATCCATACAAGTGTCTCCTTAGCTTAACAGCTACTGGCTGTGTTGGCTGCAGCCTTCAGCCACTTAGAGCAATCTGCTTTATTTCCGTTCTTACCTGTTTTCCAAGTGGTACGTGGATGTCTGTGCTTTGCCAAAGCTTATTTTCCAGCTGATCTGTGTATGGGATGGCAGTGAGACTTGGTCTCAGACTTGACAGGGAAGATCTCAATGCCCATCAGGCCTTGGCACATCAGCCAGTCGTGTTCCCAAAGACCACTGGCTGCTCTCTGTGTTGTTAGCAGGGATGTTACTCAGTGATGCAAGCTCAGCCCAAATGCTTGTCTTGATTTTTGCCTTGAGCATCTTTTGGTATTTTTTCTTTTTTTTTTTTTTTACATCAGTCTGTGCACTGAAATGCCATCCAGGAAGATGGTATGTAAATTGCTTCAAACTACTTAGAAACCAGGGATACTCAACTTCACAGCCTCAGTTACATGCCTCCTGGCTAAACAGGAGTATGGATACAGCCAAAAAGGGGTTTCTGGCCCTAGAGAAACGTTACTTCTGTGCATCAAAGGACGAATATTTGAAAATCATCCAAAATTGCAGGCAACTCAACTGATTCCTACTGAAAGTTGGAACAGATCTTATAGTAAAATGAAGGATTTCTCCCACTGCTTTTCAACACTTACAGTAAGCCTTGTTCTCTGTCAATGAACAAGCAAACATTAATTATGTGTTAAAATTGCTATTGGGTCAAAATCAAACCAGATTTTGAGACCTTGACACCCAAATTACACTTTTTCCTAACTTCATATTTGTCTCCTTTCTTCCACTTGCCCAAAGTGTCATGAAATAATTCCCAGGAATGTAGTGGCTCGAGAGAGCACAACTCTCTGGTAAATGTCTCCAGGCATGTTAGTAAAAGTTTAAAAGATTGATCTTTAATAATGTCTTTTCCTGCACATTTTAACATTTATCCTTATTGAGTCTTTTGTGTACACACCATATGTACAGAGTAAATAACTTCTGTCCTACAGAACAGTTAGCCTTTGAAACAGTTATTGTTCACACTACATATTCTGAATTTGTTTGTGAAGTGAATGCATTAAGATCTTACGCAAGCTCAAACTCTAAGCCCACGCTTGCACATGCAGTTAGTGCTCATGGACATTGGGAATGTGTGTATGCACAAACTGACATTTCAGCAGCAAATTGGCTACCGGTCTGAGCAATTTTGATATGGAATTGGACACGTGTTTTTGGCAAACTCTTTAGGGGATTGACAAAGGAATATAAGAATTGCAGTGTGCAACACAAACGTCTCATTTGATGCACTCTAAGCTGAATTTTGAACTATTAAGAAGAATTTCTAACCCAAAGTTGGGGATATTGTAATTGACAGTTAGTTCCATAAAACTGGAATTTAAGTATAAGTACAGGGCATATGCTTGGCTGTCTGGTAAAAAATTCCACTCAGGCTTTATGAAGTAACATGCCAAAAAAGAATGTTACACCATAGTCTTGTGTATTCCCTGTAATACAAGACATACTAAACTTACTCACCATTAACTTTGTTCGCTGATGATTTGCTGATGATTTTTCAGAAATACTTACATCAGGCAGGCAGAGGTTTAAAGCATTATTTCTGTTCCATGCATTGTTTCATCTTTAGATCAAACAGGAATTCTCCAAATTGAAAGCTATTGCAAGGCAACTAGAAGTGGCAGTTTAGTAGTCTGAGTAAATTTTTCCTGGTTAAAATTAGAGGACTTAGTGTACCCAGCTGGCATTACTGAGCAAGCTAAGCAGAAAAGGCAAAAACTCATTTGACATGGAGAATGAGTTCATTAGTTGGTTTTCCAGAACCAGGTTGAGGTATTCTGGCAAAAATCAGAAAAATTAGTATTTTTTTAAGTTGTCCAAATGACGACTTTTACCACAGAAGACAGCGGGGCCTTGGCAAGGTTAGAAATTTGGACTTTATGCCCACGTGTGCAGTTGATTTACTGAGTGGAATCTCAGCCCTGGTAAAAGCAGAGACTTTTTACCCCATCTTTACTGGAGCCAGGTTTTCAGCTGATCTGCACAATTCTAAGTGACCCATGTTACCTTTCTCTAAAACATCTATAACAGTATTTTCAACACATTTGTAAATTGGTGCAAAAGAAAATGGATTGCACATTTCACCCCTTACGAGCTTACAAAATCTTTTTAAAAAATTAACTACAGGAAAAGGAAAAAAGTAACTTTGCCTTTCTCTTTCTATAAGTAACCTTAAAAAAGGAAAGTTTGTTGTTGTTGCAGGTGTTTTTCCTTTTAGGAGAACTTGTATCTGTCAAAGGAGTTCAGTGTTGTTTAACAACATAACTGTGTACACCGTTAAATAGTATGGGCACATTTTGAAGTCCCAACTCTGTTTTTATTTACGCTGAGTAAGGACTCAATTTAAAGTGGGAGAAGCATTTAAGATTAGTGTGAAACAGAACAAAAGATTACAGGATGAAGTAGAAACAAATTGAGCCCGTGTACTTAAATATAACTTCTATTTTAAAATGCAGTTTGAAAAAGGAATCTTGGATCATACAGGCCATGTTTTATGCCAAACAACACAAACTAAGTAAAACACAGAGGTGTTTCACTCTCAATTTGCCCTTTTAAGGTCAGAAAAAAGGAAATTGTCACACACACTGTCTCTTGTATATATTATGGGGAGTTGTTATGAAGTGATTATTTTATAAAGGTTATACATACTTCTAAACAATATTTTAAATACCCCTTTTCTTAATCACTTATAAAATAATGGCATGCTCTCTGTATCTAGAGAATGATCTTACTATTAACAGTATACGCACCCTATATAATTTTTTACTAATTTAAAATCCCTTTGTGATAGTCTAATATTATAAGGCTTCATTTTTATGTTCCATTGCTAAGGGCCTTATTGTTCAATGCACTATTATTGGGCAAAGATGGTATCTTGTGCTCAGCAATTGCTCAAGGCTCAAATCATTAACAAATTCCTTTAAAGACTGGAGTGCAGTCTGTCCATTGAAAGTTTATAAAATAGGCTGTAATGAGCATCTGATAGGAAAACCCAATTGTCATGCAGATCACCAGAGAGACACTACGTGCCGGTAGGGTTTGACTTTGGAAATTCAGATGTGCTTCCAAAAACTGAACCCGCAGCAGGAGGAAGGGAAAATCTTTGGTGGCCCTGTGAAGGCACCTGATAGAGGAGGTGAAAGATTGAATTTGCTCTCTGAACTGATTTCTTACAGCATGAACTAACTGTTAACACAGAAAGGGGATGCCCTGTTACATGCTACAGAAGTCCTTTGTCTTAGCAGTCACAATTTCCTCCTTCCTCCCATTATGTTTTTTCCTGAATGACTCTTAAATTGGAATATATACCTCTTGGGAACAAGTTAGGAAAATTTAGTCACTTTTTGCTCTCCAAGGAGCGCAAAATTGTTTTGTTCTGTTTATTTCTCCTGAATTTTGCATTTTCTTCTTCCATTTCATAGAGTGAATTAATCATTATTCCTAATAAAACCTTTACTTGAACTAGTTTCCATTTACACCTGATATTTTTCTGTAGGATACATTGAAAATAAGCTGCACAAATGCAAGTTTCAGCCAGGCATTGAACACTAGGTGATTTAATTTGTAATAAAGCTCATTTTATTCTCCAACAGACATCGATGAGTGTGAGACAGCTGGAATATGCATGAACGGGCGCTGTGTGAATACTGATGGCTCTTTCAGATGTGAATGCTTCCCTGGCCTTGCGGTAGGACTGGACGGACGCGTGTGTGTTGGTAAGCCAAACTTAATGTGTAGCAAGTCTCAATTAACCAATGTTAAGGCATTAATGCTAGGCTGATGGACAGATCAAGTTTGAATGTAGAATTTACCATTTTTTCATAGATTGATGGGTGGTAGTTATGGTGGATACTAATAGCTCCGGGATATTTACTGTAATAGCCCACTTTGCTCTTTTGTTTTTTTCTTTCTTTGCATTTAAAGAGAAAGAATGTGTGGGCCAAATCACAAGGTCAGGTAGACTGTATACAGCATAGTGCTGTTGGAGGTGAGTACTGCTGTGTCAGTTTTGAGTAGGTGAGAATTTGCCCCATTTCTGTCAATGTAAAATTCTTCATTTGTCACTAAGCTTGAAGATTTACTCTTTCACCTGTTTTTAAAGTGGGACATATTTTTTCCACTTTTGCCTGTTTCTCTACAAGCAAAAGATGTTTGAGGAGTTTGATTTTAAAATTCTAATGTGTCTGACAGCCATTGTGGGCTAGTTTTTAAAATGTAAGAAATGTCACCCCTGGACCTGAAAAGATAAACATTTAAAATTTTATGCACTGGAATAGCATTACTGGCGTTTTCTGGCGTTTTCTTTGATTTTTACAAGCAAAGAAAGATTTTTTTTTTTTAACAACAGCGTATTTTGCAATCTTTTTCTTATGCAGGTTTTCCTTTTTCTCTCATTCTGCCTTTTTCAAGTGTAAAATGAAAACAAAAGCTTTAATGTGGCCTTAGTGGGCTTAATCCAGGGTGTTGCACCAGTGGTGATTTTAGCCTTGGTGAATCAGAGACAACTAACAAGGTTGGGAGGGGGAGAGAAAGTAATTCTTGTTAAAATCAAATCAGTCCTCCAACTCTGAGAATAAAGTAAACAGTACTGAGTTTTTTTCGGAAGTTTTGCGATATACTTGGTTCTAGCTCTGAGATCCTGCTGGTGGGCCTCTCAAGTTACAAGCCAGTAATGTCCCTGTCATATGGCAGAGACTTTGTCCTTTTTCCCCATGGCTTCTTGCTAGTTCAAGGTTAAGTATTGATTGTTCCCCTAGTAGTTCACTAATTCATTAGTTTGTATGTCTGAACTTTAGGAGTATGAGGAAGAAGAATTTCCTGTCCTGAGTAGAGTTAGGGTATAGGTTGGTGAAAGGCATAGGGAAATGGTAAAAGATGTTTTGTTTTGACAACTATTTTACAGTTTATGACACCTGAGCTACATTTAATACTACTTGTATAGATGACTGTGGCAGGATTAAGAGAGATTTCTTTCTTCAGATACACATATGCGAAGCACATGCTATGGTGGCTACAAGAGAGGACAATGTGTGAGACCATTAACTGGTGCAGTTACAAAATCGGAGTGCTGTTGTGCCAGCACTGACTATGCCTTTGGGGAGCCTTGTCAGCCCTGCCCAGCGCAAAATTCAGGTACGACATACTTACTGGTATATATTCTAATCTAAGCTTTACGTTGATAAACTATTTTTAGGAAGGTAAAGTTCAGTTTTGTATTAACATTACACCCTAAATAAGGAGGGTTACATTGTTGTATATTTTGAGCAATCTACTGGTTTTCTTTTGGAAGAGTACAGGAGAGAATTTTCTGAGGCTGACAGGAAATGACAATATCTGGGTCCAGAGTTGTTACTTGCATTAAAACAGATTTTCAAACAACAAACTATTTTGATAGGTGCAGATAACAAAAAATATAATTTTGAACTCAAGTTATTCATGCCAGCATCTTGAGTAATTCATATATTCAAATCTTTAGGTACACCTGTCAGTCAGATGTTCGCTGCCAGAATTCTATATCCTTCAAGTGATCTGAAATTGTTTATATAGTAACTAACCTTTGGATAGTCAATGCAAAAACAAACGTCCAGTTAAGTTGGTTGAAAATGCTTGAGTCTGTCACTGAAATCCCCACCAAGCAAAGTTGTCTAGGACGTAACTTCTCTCTTGCAAGAAAGCAATCCTAATCAATCTCATGGGCAGAATCTGCTTTTAGGAAAGCACTTCTTCCAAGAAGACTGTGCTGACACAGTCCTTGTTGTGAAGCCAGTAAATAAAGAGACCCTGGTTTCATGGAGGTGACTGACTGCAGGGAGCTAGTTTGAAGCCCAACTTTGTTGAGTGATTCTTTTCACTCACCAAATTTGTTGTTGCATATAAACAAAATATGCGATTCAATACGTAGTTCAAAAGCATCTCATACTAACATGGTATCTGCTTTGTAGGCAAAAATAATTTTAGATTTATTTTTTAAATCTCAGTTTTAACTGATAGCTTTATGAAAAGCAGTAGGGAGACAAAACCAGTTGGAACGAATCAGACTGGTTGAGCTGTTGTGAGCTCTTCATCGGGAACTTGCTGACCACAATTTTATAACATGCTGTATTGTTTAGAACAGCAAAACACCAAGGACATATTAGCAGAATAGCAAGGAACCTTTCCAGCAGCCTCTGCTGATATCAGTGGGCCCTTCTTATTGTACAGTAGAGTTGAAATCTTTTGTGAGACTTCTTTTTTATATTTAAACTTTTTTATATTTGAACTTTTGACTTCTTTTTTTCTATTTGAACTACTTTAGCAGAACATGTACTTATGTGGAAACTATTTTTCCTATGTTATTTTGCCCACCTCTTCAATTGTTAAAAAAATGCCATCTCATGTAGGGTGAGAATGCTCATGTAGCATTTCTTTGGGCTTTGAGTAGGGGAGGGAAGGAGAAGATTTCTTAGAGAGGAGCATTGTATCAGAGAGAGTGAAAAAAAATTCCTGAAAGGAAGACATTTGTGTCTGTGTGCTCCTCAGAAGCTCTTTGCAGAAGTTCCTGCCATTCTAGACTAAAAGTTTTGCTGATGCATGTCCAGATCAGGTCTACTTTCACATACAGTGGCAGTGATTATTTGATTCAAAGAGGGGTACATATTAATATGCCGGTTATGATAATATTGGGAGGTATGTTGCGTGCAATTTTCATTAAAGAGAAGACAGCGAATTCCATAAATATTTTTAATATTTATTAATTTTAGCAGTGTAATTATTTGGGCTGTTATAAAAGTGCAAATATTTTGGAAAATGCTGACTTATATGGCAACAATTAATGCTGATCTAGCTGTCAGTTTATTCTGTTAATTGTTCTGAACTCAAAAGAAGAACTTGAACCCAGTGGTAACTGAGACATTTCAGATACTTTGATACATACTTTAATCATTTTTTTTAACGATAAGAGATCCTTGATCTGCTATGAACTCCTGAAGACACGTCTACTAAATGGAGTTAAATATGGGCTAGATTTATAGGAAAATTTTTTCTGTTTTGTGATCACTTTGAATATGCACCTTGAGCTAGGACTTGGAGGTATGTATTCTGGAGAATCTTGCTGTGAATATGTTATGGTTCATTTGTTTAGGAGGGCCAGCATGAAGTTTATGTCTGTTCCTAAATGCCTCAGTTCACTATGTGAAGTTTTTACTCATCCATCTTCATGAACAGATGCAGACCCTGAATCTGCTAAAATGTTGCACAGGTTCAGAACACTGTGAGGATATTAATGTTTTTAGAATAATTGAAAGGCATATTATTTCATTGGAATAATTAATTGGCATATTGTAAATGATGATACTGAAAGCAATGAGCTAAGAAAGAATATTCCAGTAAGTATTTTAATATTTTTCCAGCTGAATATCAGGCTCTGTGCAGCAGTGGAACTGGCATGACTGCAGGAGGAAATGGTAAGATCCCTAATGTAATTCAAACTATAGCAGTTCTGGCTAAAAGCGTTAACCTTGATATCTTTGATTTGTTAGACATACTGGTGGGGATGATGGCAGGAAAGAATGGGAGGGAGGCTTATTCAAATGGCTGTTTGCAACACATTAGAATAATTTAGGATGAAAAGAGTGAAGTATGCCATTTCACCAGTGCGCCCTCTCTGTTTTATGCCATGGAATGTATGTGAGTGCTGTTATATTATAATGGCAAATTTGTGAGAAGTGTTATTACCTGTATGACATAGAAATCATGTATGTACGTCATATTTGCATATTTCAACTGAAATAATCCTGAAGAATAAAGCCATGCTGAACATTGAGCTCACATGTTTTCGTCTGTCAAAAAGGCCAGGCTGACAGAGTTTGGTTAATTACAGAGAAGGAGCAAATGATTACGATAAAAGCTTTGTAGTGATAGAACTATGAAACTGCAAACTCTCAAGTCAGCCAATGCTCGCTAGTAGACTTGCAGAGAGGGAAAAGCATTCAGAAAGGAGGGATGCTCATGCTTTGGAGAGTGATGCCATCTGGAAATGCTATGAATCAGGAGATACAGTTCTGTTTAACATCTTCA